CATCGCCAGTTGTCTTGACTTCAGTCTGGCCGCTAGACTTCAGTGACTCTGGAAGGGAGAGTGAGGTTGACCATGTGTAAGTCAAGACATCACCCTGTGATGTTATTGGTCCTCTTCAGAAACAAAGGATGAACAACAATAAGATACCTTATTTACAAATGTCCCTTATAGACAGTTGTGAACCACCCCCTCCCCCAACACACACACACACCCTCACTCACATCAGCCCCCATCCCTCTACCTAAACTGCTTTGGCCACTGCCCATTCATAAGTTTGGAATTTTCTAAAAAGAGATGATGGAAATGGTATTTTCAGGCAAGAGTTAACCATTCATCCCTTAATCCAACCATGTTTCCTAACAAGCTAAATGCAATATCATCACTTAATTTATAACCATACACCAGCAAAGAAACACAAAGTTAGTTACTGTCTTTTAGATTTACACAGGTTTCCACATGTAAGACTCTGGACTAGCACAGAAGTTGAACTGTCCATGAAAAGGGATCAGCTTTTATACAAAGCATTTTATACCCTAGGTTCAATGAATGAGTAATTCATTGCTGGGGTTTATGTAAAGCTCTATTTATAACAGCTTTCCAGAGTGTCTTATTATTGTCTCTAAGTGACTGTAAATGGTCTGGCCCTAGTGTGGCAAGGGTAGGGGGTAGGGTGGAGAAAAGACTCTTCTAACAGCAGTTTCTGTGAAGAGGGAATAGGGTGTAGTTGGTGGAAAGGTTACCTGACTTGGGGTCAGGAAGATGTAGCTTCAAAATCCTTCTTTTTCACTATGTGATCCTGGGCAGGTCACTTAATCTCTCTGCCTCTGTTTTCTCACTGTAAAATGAGGGGACTGGACCCCATGGCCTCTAAAGTCCCATCTCACTCCAAATCTATGATCCTACAAGTCATCTATGAAGATAAACTGAATCAATGAACCAGCCACTTAGGTAAGCCACATAAATCTGACAGCTGGTAATGCTGATGATTTGACCACTGAACTAAGAGTTAGGTATTATTCTGCCTTCTCCATTCTTGTAGAACGGTTTCACTTTGAGAATGTTATTATGAATCACTTCTCAACCAACTAAAGAGCAGCCTGGCCTGCCTGGTGTCAAATGAAACAACTGCTTAGTCCATCCAGCTGGGCCAGGAACGGTTAAGTAGTGAAACCTACCACAGCCCCCAGACACAGCATAGCTTGCCATCAGTATTCTACATCCCTGGCCCTTTGCCGAGATGTCTCCACCCTTCCCTGCCTTCTTTGTCCCATCTGTGCATTCTTTCTCTGCTCTTACGTACGGGGATGAGATTTACTGTGTGTGATTCAACTGTAAACTGAATGGAGTCTCTGTTGTTCCTACTTACAAGAGATGTGCTTTGGCAGAATAATTCATAGGTTAAAACAACAACAAAACACAACACTGCAGGAGGCATGGGAGGGACCTAAGCTATTTTTCCAGTTTTCACTTTTTTGGTTTGAACACGCCCAACCCTGGCTGTGAGGAGGAACAAAACTGCCATCACTGAAGCCCTTTCCTAAACCGGCTCATGATGGGGATTGTCATTGCCCCCCTACACAGAATGGGTTGATAACTGTGGTGTTGTTTCTCTTCTTTCTCTGTCAATTAATAAGTGAGAAATGAGAGGAATTTCGGGAATAGAGAGAGAAAGATGAGTTATCAGTAACATTGACATTCACTTCCAAATAATATTCTTTTTCTGACCACTGTGCATTATATACAGATACCTAAGCCTGATAGGAAATCTTCTTTAAAATATGACCCTCCCACACTCCCAACCCACCCTTTATGGAGGTGGGAGGTCCACAGGTGTTGCACATTACACATATTTTTGGATTTTTTCAATGTATTAATTGATTGTGCTGACCTTTTCCTCTTTTTTCTTTTTTTTTTGTCTTAAAAAATACTATTTGTACTTGGGATGGCTTTCTGGGAGGGAGAGAAGGAAGGATCCAGGGGGAAATGATGTTGATATAAAAAAAAAAGACATCAATAAAAACTTTTTTAATAATAAAATTTTAAAAAAATAAATTATAAAAAAAACCCTCCCATTAGGATCTGGAAGATATGCTAATGAAAGCTGCTTATGTAGTAGACATATATATATATATATATATATATATATATATATATATATATATATATAAAAACACATATGCATAGGAAAATTAATGCTCTACACCTGTGTGACTTTGGTAAATCATTTCAAGTCTCTGGGACTCAAGTTCCTTAACTGTAAAATAAGGGGAAGTAGGACTCAATGACCTCTAAAGTCCCTTCTGGTTCCAAATCCTATGATGCCTTTCAGCTCCAAGCCTGTGATCCTATGATCAAGTTTACTACTGATTCAAACCAATGCACTGGATCTCTCCCCTCAAATACCCGAAGAGCAGCAAATAGAGTCAGTATGGCATTTGGCCAAGCTGAATAGTAAACACTTGGGTTGACAGAGTAACTAGATGGTGCTAGACTGGAAGTCAAGATGACCTGGGCTCATAATCCTTGGAGCCTCTAACACGAGCTGAGACTCCATTTCATCATCTCTAAAATGGAGACAATATGTGTGGCAGCTACATCACAGAGCTGGTAGGAGGAAGGCTCACTTAGAGGTTGCCTGTGTTAACCACTTTGCAAACTTCAAAGATATATATATATATCTTCAAAGTTTATATATATATATATGTATATACATATACAATGTCAATTATTATTATTCCTACCCATATTATTGAACCCACAAATATAAATTAACCATTAATCCAGTCCTTTACTCAAGAGGGTTTATGAGTTTGTCACCAGGAACACCATATAGTATGCATTTTTAATCCTACCTGACATCTATAATGTGAGACGGCTAGGTGAAGAGGATAGAGTGCTGGGCCTGGAGTTTAGGAAGACCTGAATTCAAATCAATTGGGCCAGGCACTGTGCTAAGTGCTGAACCAGCCTCAGACTCTTATTAATTGTGTGACCCTGGGCAAGTCATTTAACAGCTGTTTGCCTCAGTTTTCTTATCTATAAAATGGGAATAATAACAGCACCTATCTCCTAGGGTTGTTGTGAGGATCAAATGAGGTAATAATTGTAAAGCCCTTAGCACAGTCCCTGGCACACAGTAGACCTTAATAAATGCTTTTTGAGGGGCAGCTAGGTGGTACAGTAGATAGAGTACCAGCACTGAAGTCAGGAGGACCTGAGTTCAAATCTGGCCTCAGACCAAACACTTGGCACTTACTAGCTGTGTGATCCTGGGTAAGTCACTTAACCCCAATTGCCTATAAATAAATGCTTTTTGATTGATTGGAACAGACAGGCCAGGTATGACTACATCCATTTTACAGGTGAGGCAAAGTACAGCAAAATTCAGTGACTTGCCCAAGAATAGGAGCTGGGCCTAGAACTTTTGTCCTCCTACTCCTTGTCAAGGTTATTTTTTCCCCAAGTTTCTTTTTTTCCCCCCAAGTTTCAAAGAAAAACCCCCAATTCTGCTGAGCCTACAGTTAAGACTGCAGCCATGCCACTGAATGCCTTCTTTACTTACCTCCACCCCCTTGTTCCACAGCTTTCTTCGAGACCCAGATAAAATCTCACTCCAGCAAGAGGACTTTCTAGGTATCCCTGTTCCTTGCCTCTACCTCCCCCTACACACACACACACACACACTCACTCATACATGCACGTACATGCACATGCACATGCACACACTCTTCCGGTGCCTTCCCCTCTAAAGGGAAGATAACTTCTATCCATTCTATATATATCTTGTATGCACATAGTTGTTTGCATATCATCCGGCCCATTAGAACGTGAGCATCCTGAGACCAAGGGCCATGCATATATTTGCCTTTCTTGGTGTCCCCCATACTTAGCACAGTGTCTGACACAAACACAGTAAGCAGTTAATAAATGCTGGTTGAAGGACTGACTGATTGACTAAAGGGGGCACAGAAAAGGTACAGTGAGCCTGAATTTACAGTACAGTGATCAGTACATGAGGCAAGAACACAAGTGAATGAATGGAACATACAAGATCGAGGGGCAGTTAGGTGGCGCAGTGGATAGAAAACTGGCCCTGAAGTCAGGAGGACCTGAGTTCAAATCCGACCTCAGACCAAATACTTGACACTTACTAGCCCTGTGACCCTGGGCAAGTCACTTAACCCCAATTGCCTAAAAGCAAAAAAAAAAAAAAGATTAATACTGACTGAGCCAAGCAGCCAAGCTCCCTAGAACTTCAAGCAGCTAAACCAATGGGATTTATTGCTAAGTGTTGTGGACTTTCGAAACTGTGTGGAGTCATAACCAAATCCATCATGTTTGTTTGACAAGCTGTGGGCGATGATATGGTCGCCGATGACCAACGGGAATGACACGTGTTCCTCTTCATTTCCGTGTTGACATTTCTCTTCCTTCTTTCTTTATCAAGCAGTACGCAATGTGTTCTGTGAGGACACAGCGTACCTTATTCACTTCATGTATTACCAGTCAGTGTTGTGTGTTCTTGTTTCTACTATACTAGGCAAAATGGGAGGAGTTATGATTCTGCTGGCTTCTGGCCTCACCGTGGGAGCTTGAACAAACCTGCTGAATCGTTTGTGCCTTAATCAAAGCCAGGATTAGGGTTAGGGTTAGAATGAGGGGTAAGGAAGACAGCTGCTAAGGTGAATCATGTGGGGTTGTTGGGAAGGAGGCCACAATGAGGGACAGTGGAATAGTCCTTAAATACAGACTGTAGAGCCAGAAAATTCTGCTTTTGAATGGGTGTGTATACATGTACACACACACACACACACACACACACACACACACACACACACACACACATACACAGAGTTTATTGATGTCTTATTTTTTACATCTTTGGAGTTTTCCCGAGTATCTTTCTCTCTATCCCAGAGAGACATTACATATAACAAATTGCATTTTTAAAGACAAAAAAAAAGAAAGAAAAAGAAGAGAAAAAAAATCAGCACAACTGATCAATGCATCAAAAACATTTACATATATTTTATGAGAAGTGTCTGTTACAGTAAAGCCTCAAAGCAGATATAAAGGGAGCACTATTTTTAGATCTTACCTAGGATATACAAATGCCTTATAGTGGCCTCCAAGGCCACTATAAAATGAAGCTTGAAAAGGGAGATGAATTCTCTTTCTTTTCCCTTCCATACTGAAGAAAACCTCACTGAGAAAGAGAGAAAGAAAGCTTTTTTGAGGGACTGGAGAACTGATGGAGGCAGCATAGACTAGGGGAAAGAATAGTGGACTGTTGCAGTAGCCAGGATCAACTGTGGCCCTTGGCCAAAATGAAATGGGTGATGGTTGAAATGTGTGCTCATTACCCCCTTCTCCCACCCTAAATCACAACTATGTCTTCACTTTCATACTAAAGTGTAAATACCAGATGATACAGTCTTACTTGGGGAAGGTAGGAGGGAGGTTGCATTTTAACAGGGCTTAAATCCTAAGCTAAAGTAATGAACTATCTTGGCAGAATTTCAAGCATCCATGAAGCAGGAGTGAGAGATATGAGGGATTAGAGGAGATTTTCGCCCCTCTGACATCATACCATAATTTCCTATTCTGAGTCCTGGTCCTGTCTCTGCCTGCATACTTTGGATAAATCAATTCATTTCTCTATGCCTCTATTTCTCCATTTGGAAAATAGGGCCAATCCAACCCTTGCCCAAGACCATAATAATGCTGTAAAGGGAAAGAAAAATTGTCTCTGTGAAAATGCTTTGAGGTGACATGCTCTATGCCATGGGAACTCAGTTCAAGCACTAAGGGGGCATTATTGAAGGGCATTTGATTCAACATCAACAGTGCATTTGAAATCCAAGGCACAGTCTGAAATATTTTCCTTTTCTCCTCTTTTCTTCCTTACTCAGTCATTTGCAATCACTCTGTTGTTTTCTGTTGGGAATCCTGGCATTCACTAGGTTTGCCTTGGCCAATAGTTCCATATTTGATGTAGTTAATCACATCTTACAAATGTGGATCTAAGTCGCAAGCCTCAAGAGATCTACGGAAAGAGAAAAATGAAGAGAGCACTTAGTGATATGCCGACAAAGGATTTGGGTTTAGGTCCCGGTTCTGCATTTGGAAAGTTTACTCTGTGTGGCTGACGGAGCTTTTCCATCGCCTTCTGCTATGAACCAATAAACACAAGGAAATGCATAGGCCTGGACCAACCACAGGTATTTATGAGAAACGAGTGGATAGATGCAGTGTTGAACAGACTAGAAGAACTCCCTTAGGACTGGTTGTCAATCACACCCAGACGGATTAGGCAGAGAAAGGTAAAGACCACTAGTTCCTCCACATTTCCTGCATCTGTATGTTTCTCAGTGCTCCAGGCACCTGAGCAATAGCTCTTGATTTAAAAACAGAAAAAGAAAACCTTATCCTTTGGCACTTGCTCCTTTCTTGAGTTTTCACTTCTCCAATATCCAAAAGCATGGATCGGACAAGGGGAGCCGCAAAACTGCCATCACAAAACCACTCTGCTAGCAACCCCATTGCTACTGCTGCTGCCTCCCTGCTGCTCAGTGTGGCTGGGGTGAAACCTTCATCTCTCTGGGTTCTTTCTTTTGAGCATTTTAGAAAAGTTCATCCTCCAGTTCTGATCCTGCAAAAGCTTCCTCTTTTCCTGAACTGGGGAGAAATACAACTCCCATGGTCATTAGCACCTCAGGCAGAATGGGTAATGTTTCCATTACTGCCATGGCCAAGTGACTACTCAAAGTGCTGTCTCTCCTTGAAGGGAAGGTAAAGGAACTCGAGGAACATCTCTCCACTCTCCAGGTTATTAAGGAGAATGGAATCTTCTTGGACCTGAAGTCAGGAAGACCTGAGTTCAAATTCAGCCTCAGACACTTACTGTGTGACCCCAGGCAAGTCAGTTAATCTCTATCTGCCTCAGTTTCTTCACCTGTAAAATGAAAGTAATAATAACACCTACCTCCCAGTTTTGTCATGAGGATCAGACGAGATATCTATCACTCCTTGCCCTTTCTACCCATTATGAGTCTGTGTGTACCCTCCTGGGACAAAATTCCAAGCACTGATCTAAAGGCGGGAGATCTCTGTATCTTTCTGTTCTCCCAGTCTCTGTCTAGAGACAGCTAGGTGGCACAGAAGATATAGAACCAGGTCCAGAGGCACGAAGTGGTTGTTTGGTGGTTTTTAGTCATGCCCAACTCTTTGTGACCTCATTTTTGGCAAAGATACTGAAGTGGTTTGCCATTTCCTTCTCCATCTCATTTTACAGATGAAGAAACTGAGGCAAACAGGTGACTTGCCCAGGGTCACACAGGTAATGAGTATCTGAGGCCAGATTTGAACACAGAAAGATGAATCTTCCTGACTCCAGGCCCAGTGCTCTATCTACTACATCTTAAGTCCTTAGCAGCCCTGGCATATAAAATAGGCATTTATTAAATACTTGTTTTCTCCCTTTTCTTCTCCCTTCCTTCCCCCTAAACTTCCTTCTTTCCTCTCTTTCTCCTCTCCTCTCCTTCCTCCCTTCTTTTTCCTTTCTTCTTCCCTCTCTTCCTCCCCTCCTTCCTTCCTTCCTTCCTCCCTCCCTCCTTCCTTCCCTCCCTTCTTTCTTTCCTTCTTTCCATAGTACTCCTTAGCTACTTCAAAACATCGAAGATGAAACTTCTCTCTAGACACTACTGCTACCTAAGTTATGGAAAGTATGTAGCAGTAGTGGCTGGGCCCTCTTCTCTTCTCCCTCTATACTACTTCACTTGGTGATCTCATCAGTTCCCATGGACTTAATTACTATCTCTGTGCTTAGGATTCTCAAATCAACCTATACTGCCCCAGACTCTCTGCTGACTATTAATCTCACATCTCCAGCTGCCTTCCAGGCATCTCAAATGGGATATATGGCAGACATCTTAAACTCATCCTATCCAAAATGAACTCATTATCTTTCTCCTTAAACCTTCTCCTCTTCCTACCTTCCCGAGGGCAATATTATCCTCCCAGTCCCTTAGGCTTGTAACCTAGAAGTCATTCTCAACTCCTCACCATCTCTCACCCCCTCATAGCCAATCTATTGCCAATCCTGATGATTTCACCTCTGCGATATACCCCCCTCTCTCCTCTGATACTACCACCACCATAGGCCTCATCACCTCACACCTAAATGATTGCAATAGTCTTAGTCCCTCCTCATTTCAACCCATCCTCCATTCATCCACTAAAGTGGTTTCCCTAAAGCAGGGGTGTGATCATGTCACACTGCTCCCCTCAATAAACTTCTGTGACTCCCTATCACCTCTAGGTCAAATAAAAGATTCTGTTTGGTGTTCAATGTCCTCCATAACCTAGCCTCCTCCTAGCTTTCCAATCCTCTTACACCTTAGTCCGTAAGACTGTACTCTGATCCAGACACTGGCCACTTTTATGTTCCACAAAAAAGACATTCTCTCTATTGGCTCTGGGCATTCTCTCTGGCTGTACCCCATGCCTAGAATGCTGCCCCCTCCACAATTCTATCTACTGCCTTCCCTGGCTTCCTTTAAGTCTCAATTAATTCCATCTTCTACAGAAAGCCTTCCCCAACCCTTCTTAGTTCCAGCGCTGTCCTTCATAATTATTTCCTATTTATCCTATATAAAGCCTGTTTGTATATATTTATTTGTTTGGCCTCTGCTTCATTAAATTGTGAACTACTTGAGGGCAGGGACTGTCTTTTGCCTCTTTTTGTATCTCCAGGGCTTAACACAGTGCCTGACACATAGAAGGTGCTTAATAAATGTTTATTGATTGACTGATTGAATATCTGGATATCAGAATCTACTAAATATATTTCTGAAACTGCACTTTAAATTTTGGCCTTCTTGGGAAGGTGATATAAATTCTCCCAACCTTATCCAAACTATCTCCAATTGTATTATTAGTCATACTTTATTAACATTTAATTATCATATTACTGTTATATTATAACAATTCATCTTTTAAATGCCTCACGGCACCCATGCTGCAATAAAAACTGCCTCTTTAAAGCTGATTTTTAAAATATCCTGTTTAGCCCAAATTGTTTGTACTACCTCCTAAAAACCAAACTTTTAAACTGTTTTCTTGCTGATGATTTTATCTCTTTGATATACACTCTCATTGCTTGCTTTATGGGGTCAAGGTTACTGGACTTGTTTTATTTGTTTCATCTTAAAAGGGGGGAAAAGAAAAGAAAGAGCAAACATTTAATCAAATACAGTCTGCAAGGAGAGAGCCTGGGCTGTGGTAAAAGGTAGAACAGATTTTTCGATTTAGAATGTCCACACCCACTTCCTCTGACAGTTTTTTTCCCCTCTTCTTTTCTCCTTCTTCATCCATTTTAATCAATAATAAATCTTGTCCAAAAGGGGAGCTTGTAGAATTGGATGCCTGGAATTGATTCCCCCTCATGCCATCCTGATCAGATCAACTATGCTAGTCCAGCTAACTGGATGAGTCCCCTTAAAGGAACCAGGGCCTCCCTTGTGAAATCTAATACAAAGTACTGTAACAGGAAACCAGAGAAATCTAATGCAATAAAATGCACCTGATCAGATTTAAGAACATTAGTGGTCCTTCGATTATAAACCAGGAGTCAAATGACAAAGAAGGACAAAGCTAGAGCAGAAGGGCACATCATTATGAATTGAGAGAGACTAAAGAGCTTAGGACCACAAAAATTGTGGAAGATATCACAGTACTATCACTGTTACCCAAGCCTAGAGCAATCCCTATTATAACCATCATGGTAAAGAAGGCTATATTTTAAATTAAATTTTATTTTTAGTAAGCAAAAATCCACCTCTCTCATTGCCCTTTCCTCCAATTAAGGGGAGGGGAAAGAAAAACAAAATCCCTGTTACAAACCTATAATCAAGAAAAAAAATTCTGCATTGGCCATATTGTAAAAATATGTGTGTGTGTGTGTGTGTGTGTGTGTGTGTGTCCTGCACTGAGTCATTTACCTTTCTATCAGTATTCAGATAGCATGTTTCATCATGAGTCCACTGGAATCATGCTAATCATAATTCCTAAGTCTTTCAAAGTTGTTTGTCTTTGTGATACTGTTGTCAATGTATAAATTGTTTTCCTGGTTCTGCTCACTTTTCTCTGCATCACTTCATAAAAGCCTTCCCAGGTTTCTCTGAAACCCTCCCCTTCATCATTTCTTATAGCACAATAATATTCCATCATATTTACATGACCATAATTTCTTCAGAAATTCCCCAACTGATGGGCACACTTTCAGTTTCTAATTCTTTTTCGCCCCCAAAAAAGAGCTATAAATATTTTTGCACATTTTAAGTTTTTTTGCTTAATATTAATCCCTTCCTTAAACTACTGTCTAATTCTCCCCTTTCCCTCCTGTCTCCCCGTTGAGTGAAATGTATTTTGTACCCAACTGTGTGTGTATTCTTCCTTCTTTTGACCAGTTCAGATGAGTGTGAGGTTCAATGTCAGTTGCTCCACACCCCCGCCCCCGCCCCCACTTGTTTGTATAGACTTCTACTTGGCACCTCATAAAGAAGGCTTATTGACCATTGTGCTGTTCTAAGCATTGTCCAACAGTCCCATCAAGTGGACTAGGAAATAATTGGGGGTTTTGTGGGGAGGGGCAAACCTGTGATTTCATTGCAATAGGAATTCCAGCCAATGAGATAAGTACCTGCTCAGCAACTTAGAAGTCTAGTGAGAAGCCTTGGTCACTGAGAAGTTAAGTGACTTACAGAGACACACAATCCATACGGGTCAGAAGTGGGACCTGATTGAAGGGGATAAAGCTTCCAGAAGGACTAGTAGATACATAAATTGGGGAAGGTGGCAGCGGCTAAGGGCAGTTTATAATGAAAAGATACAAGCTGAAGGTTTTAGGAGCTTCCTCCCCCAGACCCAAGGTGTACTGTCTGCGGCTCCCCCCAATTCCTGCCAGGCTTTTAGTTTTGTATCCCAGACACCTAGCCCGCAAAAGACACCACTTAATGAGCGTTAGTTGGTTGGACTACTGCCCTGGTGCGAAACCTGCTCGCTTACAGCTGTGGAGACTGGAGCTGTGCCCACCACCTGCAGAATGATGGGAAGCGACGACGCGACTTTAGTGGGAAATGTCCAAAGCGTGCATTTTCTTGCCTATTTCCCAAAGCCGGACGTCTTCCGTCTGCCCGCCCTCCCTTCCTAGGGGGTATGATCCCCCTCCTCTCCCGAGCGAAAAAGGCTCTGAAAGACAGACTTATAAGCCACCTCACCCCTACTTCTTAAAGAGGAGGGAGAGTTGAGTCATCCCCTTGACTCCAGCCCGCTGCCCCAGGGCCAAGGCAGGGACTGGGATAAATGCCCGGGAAGGTGAGCGGAAGGCAGGAGAAGGTTCGGAGGAGAAGAGGACTTGGGGAAGTCTCGGGGAGAGTGTGGACAACCCTTTTCCTGCCCAGCTGGGCCCGCAGAAGTGAGACTGGGCGGGGGCGGGGGCGGGACGGGAGGGGGGAGACCTCCTACATCCCCGAGGGCTGGGCTCTACCGGGAGCCGCCCCGCCCCGAGATGGCATTGGGGCTGCGATCTGGTGCCTGGGTGTGAGCCGAGGTCTGGGCTCTCGAAGATCGAAGAGCCGCCCCGCCGTCCGCGCCCCCTCCCCGGGACCCCGGGGGGGAGCCCAGAGCCAGCCTTCCAGCCTGCGTCTCACACCGGCCCCACCCTGTACTTTTCTCCCCACCTAGTGACCACAGGGACCATGTCCACGGAGGAACTGAACGGCCTCACGGAGGAACAGGAGGAGATCCTGGAGTGCAACTTCTGCAAAGGAAACAAGTACCCGGATCCTACCACGCTGCTCCTTATCGCCGCCGAGGTCGGCCTCAGCGAGGAACAGACTGAGGTGAGGCTCCCACCTCGGTGCCTGCGTCCGGGCCCGCCTCCGTGCCTGCCTGTCCGCCCTGCCTCTCATCCAGACTATCGCCGCCTCTTCTCTTTTCCTCCCTCCCTAGCTTGTTTATCAGCACCAGATGGCTGGTGTCACCTTATCATTTTCCACTTACCTGACTCCCTTATCTCTTCCCACGCAGTCATCCCTGACCCACAGCACCACCGCACCCATAACCAGACCCTCTGGCTCCATCCCTTGTTATCACCTCCCTAGCTGTGTTTGTCCCCCAACTCCGGTCTTATTTGTGTCCAGTGCTGAGCCTCTTATTCTTTGCCTTTGCTCCCTCCCAAGCCCACCAATCATTCAACCGGTATTTATTAAGCACCTACTTGTGCCAAGACAAGTACAAACGAGAAACTTTCCCTACTGGCAAGGAGCTCACCTACAAGAACTCCAGTTCCCAGAAGAGCTCCTTAGAGAGTACCACATTTTTGTTTCAGACCAGCCTTTCTCCCATTCCCCTTGTAAACTGACATCTCCCTGCTTCTTAAGGTCTTCCTCCTCTTTGTGGTCTCTGCTTTTTCTTATTATCTTTGCTTTCCCCTTTGAGTTCCGAAGTCAAGAGCTGTGCCTTCCTCCTTTGGGCTGTCAGCCTTACTGACAGAAGTCGTTTCTGTTCTATCAGTGGGTTTCCCAGCAGCAGCAGCTAGGTGATCTCTCCTTTGCTCCAGCACTCATACTTCCAGCCATTTACATCATTTTCAATGTGCAATCTCTCTGCTTTCCTGCCCCCTTCTGCTACACCCATTTCCAGAGCCTGATGTCTTTAAGCACACTTCTCGTGATGTTCAGAGAATCAGAGTTTTAGAGATGGGAAAAACCTTTAGGCCTAAGGAAAGCTAAGCTCAGATGAGTTAAATCATGGGGCTGCTTATTGGTAGAGCTGGGCCAAAAATCCAAGTGACCTGTTCTTATTCTTTCCAGTAGAACACTGCTGTGCTTTACTTTAAAAAAAGAAGAATCGTGTTCATACACACAAACACCCCCCCACACACATATACACACAGAGGGAAGGGAGGAGGGAGAGAGGTTTGGGTTCAAGTTCAGAAAATATTTCTGGCTAAGGATAGCTAGGTGAGTAAAAGTGGTTCAGTTCAGGCCAACAAGCATAGATGAGGCACCTACTACATGCAATGTTAAACACTGGGGTAGTTGTGGGGGGATAAAATGGAATGTTTTCTGCACTATGGAAAGGAATTTGGGAATAGGGTGGGAGATAAATTTACACATATAAGAGTAAGGTAATTGAGAGATTGGAGAGGCCAAGGAAAGAACAGATGAAATGTTCTAGGAATATGAAAAGGAAGGCGGGAATACTAACTGCTGAAGAGATCAGGAAGGGCTACATGGAGAGGATGGGGCCTGACTGGAGTCTTGAAGAAAGCTAAGGAAGGTAGAGATATGGAGGAAGTGTGTTTTAGACGTGGCTGATGTTTTGAGCTAATGCATGAGTATGGTTTTTATGCTGTGACCAACTGTAAAGTTGCAAAGACGCATCAGTCATCTAATGGACATTTTATAACATCATTACTGAGGACCTAATTAGTCCCTGAGACATTTTGCCTAATGCCAGGTTCATTTTCTCCAGTAACAACAGTGGATGAGCTAAGCCTGCATATCGGTTTATCTGACTCCCAAGGTTGCCCAGAGGATCAAAGGCAATAATAGAACTGAGTCCTTTGTAACCATGTTGCTCTGTGTTTCTATGTGCTCTAGATGAATTCTAACTGTGGGGAGATGGACCTGATCTAGTTGCCCCCTTAAGTCCTGTGATCTGTTTACAAAGTCTCTATGCCTTTCTGGAAGTTGCTTAGTGCAGAGGATGCAAATAGCTGTCTCGTGACTGTCTCCTGCGTTTTAGGAGACTTCTCAGAATCAATCAATTGGAAATTTTGTTTGGGTACCTAACAGGTACCCAGGACTGTTGGGGCACTGGACAATCAATGCCCTACTCATCCATCTGTAGAACAGGAAGAATCAGATTGGACCATTGGGTGACTTTCCTGGGAGCTGTTTACCCATCTTGTTGTCTGATTCCATTTACCCTCTAGCACTGAACGATGATTAGTTATACATGATAATAATAATAACAGCTGACATTTATGTAGAGCCATGGCAGTTAGGTGACAGAGCAAAACTCTGCGAGCAGCACTGGAAGCCTTGAGTTCAAATCCTGTTTCAGTTACTTCCTACTTGAAGGACTCTGGGCAAGTCACTTAATCTCTGCCATCCTCAGTTTCCCCATCTACAAAATGGGAGTAACAATAGCATCTATCTCATGAAGTTGTTATGAAGCTCAAATGAAAGAGCTTATGTAAAGTGCAAAATATAGGCCAGTTGTTAGCTTAAGCAGTCATAAATCATTTTATGGTCACTATTAGACTGTGAGCTCCTGAGAGCAGGATTTTTTTATTCATTTGATTTTTTAAATGTCTGCCTTTGCTTTCTTTGTATCCCCAGAGCTTGGCACAGTGCTTGGCACATAGTAGGCACTTAATAAAATGCTAGGTGACTGACTTGAATCTCGTAGCGGTCCTGTCAGGTATAGGTTATAAGTAGTATTATCCTCATTTTATAGAAAAGGAAAATGAAGCTCAGAAACTAGTGAAGGCCTGAGGCAGGAGTCCTACCCTGATCTACCTGACTTCAGGCCCAGCACTCAATCCATTACGTCAAGCATACAGGTCCAGAAATAATTTGCAGGGAGATATTGCTTCATCTCCATGGTGAAGTACAAATGGGCCAATCTATTTCATACTGTTTTACAGATGGGGATACAAAAGACTACACGAGGCAGTGATTTCTCCAACATCACACACTGAATCAATGCTCAAGTAGTCCTAGATACCTAATGGGTGCTCAGTAAACAACTAGCAATTGATTTCTGTTAGAATCAAGGCTATATTTAATAAATCCAGCCAGGCATCAGACAATTTACTCATATGCCAAGATTTGTCTTGTTGATTATTTTCTTATGTGTGGGTCAACAAGAAAACTAGCTAACAACATTGAAAATTATTTTTGATAATTTAATCAACAAACATTTATTAAGTACCTACTATAGGCCAGGCATTGGGGATATAACAACACAAGCTAAAAAGCTTACATTTTCTTGGGAAGCTTCCTGATGAAATTAGACAGTTTTTAAAATCACAGACTGTTTAGAAAAAAAAATTACTGTGGAGGTAAGGACTTTCCTTTCTCCTAGAGCCAAGTTCTGGATCTGTGTCTGTACAGAGTAATGACTGAGCTCCTCTCCCCATCTCTGATAAGCTCACGTTAAATGATCCATGCCCCTTCCCCCCAAAACACTTATGCTTTTGGCCTGTCAATTCAATTAAATACACATTTATATAGGGCCTGCACTAGATTCTGGAGATACTAAGGCCAAATAAATGACCCATCGGTGCATGCCTTAAGAAGTTTACATTCTTCTGTCACCCCCTCCCCAGACATCAGTCACCTTATCTGTAAACTATAGATAAAGATGATTATCTATAACTAGGTCGGTATAGTGGAGGGAGTGCTGGACCAGAGTCAGAAGAACAAGTTCATCTTCTCCCTCAAACATTCTGTAGTTATGGTGTCACCCTATCTCTCTCATCCCCAATTTCCTTATCTGAAAAGTGGGTATAATAATAGAACATCGCTCTAAGGGTTTTATAAGCATTAACTGAGACAGCACTTGCAAAGCACTTAAGGTGCTATGCAAATGTGAGCTCTTCTTGTCTGAGCTTCCTGGTATGGTAAAAAATGGAAGGAGTTTGTGTGAAGACTAGCTGTCAAAAGAATAAGCCATATAGAAATGAATGAGGATCTTCTGGCTCCCTTTCTCGCCTCCTGCCCTGTAAACCAGTTGACAAGATAGAAATAACTTAACCATTTCCTACCCCTCAGAGGAGCAGTTGGAATAAGTGATGGAGTAATAGAAAACATTCCACAAAAAATGAGACAGTTACATGGTCATTGGAAGGGTGAATTGGCTCCCCAAGAAGGATGGGGGAGAAAGTGCTTAGTAGTGTGCCTAGCACATAGTAGGCCTTTAATAAATGTTCATGATGGCCTGAAAGCAAGGAACATGATATAAAAAGGGGGTCGGGAGGCTTTCTCCCTTGATAATGGAGCTTAGTTGAAAGCTTCCTACCTAGGATTACACTATGCCAAGAGGCGCCTATTCTCATCACAGAGTAAGGAGAACAGAATATTTGCACCCAAACTCCTGCTGCGTGCAAATTCTACTGTTTTCTCCTTCGCAGCTCTCGAATGTAGAATAACTGGCTATTAAAAAAAAATTTCTCAAACCGTACTTGAAAATGGTGGGTTGAAATGAAATAAGAGGAGGAAACGACATGATTTCTTTCATCAGATATCCCAGGAAGATAATTGATAGAATAACAGAATCTGAGAGTTGGAAAGCACCTAGTCCCAGCTAAACAAGAATCCCTTTACAACCTAATGTGTGCACAGGAGCATTAAGCTCTATATTTGTGCGACCCTGTATCAAATTCAATTTACCCCCCTCTTTTTAGCCCTCCTCCAGTTTCCTATACTTTGCTGTGTTCCGGATGAGCTATGGGCTTATAAAAATGTGCTATGAAGTAACTCTGTGTCCATCATACACTACTACATTGTATGTATCTGCTGGAAAGATTGTTCCACTTCCTAGGCCTTGGCCTTCCTCTGCCCCCAAATCTGAAACAGTAGTTCCATTGGTCTAGGCAAACTGAAATGTCCTGGTTCCTCCCTTTACCTTCTACATGAAGGGGAGAAGACAGATTGGAGTGGGAGGGATGGAGTCTGACTGGGCTCAAGGAACACAGCCCCAGAAAGGAGTTACTGGCCACCAAATGCATTATATTTCTGTGTGTTGCTGTGCAAGTGATTTAACTTCCCTGGGTCTCAGTTTCCCCAACTGTGGAATAGGAATAACAATAACATCTCACTCACAGGATTGTTGTGAGGCTCAGAAGAGATAATATTTGTAAAGTGCTTCTCAAACCTTAAAGTGTTATGTGAATGTTAGCTATTGTTAAGAAGTAAGGGGGCATAGGTGGCTCAGTGGATAGATCGTTGGCCCTGGTATCAGGACCTGAGTTCAAATCCAGCCTCAGACATTTGACACTAGCTGTGTGACCCTGGGCAAGTGACTTAACCCCATTGCCTAGCCAAAAACAACAACAAACAAGAAAAAAAAAGAAGTAAACATTACATAGCATTTCAGTCTTTGGCTTTCTCCAGGTCCTACACCCTAGGCAGGCTCCCCTCCTACTCCTTCTTGAAGAATTTCCAATTCCTGCTGCCACAGAATGGTGGGCACCAGGAGACTGATTGCTGCCTCCCTCCCTACCTGATTGCTCTCTTTTCCAACACAGCCAT